AAAATCACCCAAAATCACCCCAAAAACACCATCACCACCCTGAGAACAGCCGGAAACAGCCGAAATCACCCCAAAAACACCCGAAAACACCCAAAACCAGCCCAAAATCACCTCAAACAGCCCAAAAACACCCCAAAAGCACCATCACCACCCTGAGAACAGCCGGAAACAGCCGAAATCACCCCAAAACAGCCCAAAAACAGCCAAAAACACCCCAAAAACACCCAAAAACACCCAAAAACACCCAAAATCACCCCAAAAACAGCCCAAAAACACCCCAAAATCACCCAAAAACAGCCGGAAACACCCCAAAAGCACCATCACCACCCTGAGAACAGCCGGAAACAGCCTCAAAACACCCAAAAACACCCAAAAACACCCCAAAAACACCCCAAAAACAGCCCAAAAGCACCATCACCACCCTGAGAACAGCCGGAAACAGCCGAAATCACCCCAAAAACACCCAAAAACAGCTGAAAACACCCCAAACCACCCAAAATCACCCCAAAATCACCCCAAATCACCCAAAATCACCCAAAATCACCCCAAAATTACCCAAAATTACCCAAAAAACCCCCAAAATCACCCCAAAAGCACCATCACCACCCTGGCAAAAGCTGGAAACACCCTCAAAACACCCAAAAACACCCCAAAAACAGCCGAAAACACCCAAAATCACCCAAAATCACCCAGAATGACCCAAAATCGCCCCGAAATCCGCTCCGGGAATCCCAAAAACCCCCAAAATCAACCCAAAATAACCCAAAATCACCCAAAAGCTTCCGAAATCACCCAAATCACCCCAAAAACAGCCCAAATTCACCCAAAAACACCCCAAAATCCGCTCTGGGAACCCCAAAAATCACCCAAAAACACCCAAATTCACCCCAAAATCACCCAACTGTCCCCCCCAAAACAAGGATTTTTGGGGACTTTGGGCTGTTTTGGGTGGGATTTTCTGGGAATTCTGGAACGTTCCAGGCGGATTTTTGGGAATTCCGGGATATTTGGGATGGGTTTTTGGGAATTCCAGGGGTTTCAAGGCGATTTTGGGTCGAATTCCTGGGATTTTGGGGCCGTTTTGGGGCGAATTTGAGGGATTTTAAGTCAATTTTCGAGGGGATTTTTGGGGAGTTTGGGCTGTTTTGGGTGGGATTTTTTGGGAATTCTGGAACGTTCCAGGCGGATTTTTGGGAATTCTGGGATATTTGGGATGGGTTTTTGGGAATTCCGGGGGTTTCGAGCTGATTTTGGGTTGAATTCCCGGGATTTTGGGGCGAATTTTTGGGATTTTGGGTCAATTTTGACATGATTTTCGGGGACTTTGGGCTGTTTTGGGTGGGATTTTCTGGGAATTCTGGAACGTTCCAGGCGGATTTTTGGGAATTCTGGGATATTTGGGATGGGTTTTTGAGAATTCCAGGGGTTTCAAGGCGATTTTGGGTCGAATTCCCGGGATTTTGGGGCGAATTTTTGGGATTTTGGGTCAATTTTGAGTTGATTTTTGGGGAGTTTGGGCTGTTTTGGGTGAGATTTTCTGGGAATTCTGGAACGTTCCAGGCGGATTTTTGGGAATTCCGGGATATTTGGGATGGGTTTTTGGGAATTCCGGGGGATTCCAGGCGATTTTGGGTGGATTTTGGGGAGAATTTGAGGCATTTTGGGGCACTCACTGCACGTTCGTCTCTCGCTCCCCTTCAGGGACCCGGTCCTGGAGACACTTGTAAATAGCCTGGAGAATATGCAAATTTATGCAAATTTATGCAAATTAGAGACAAGCCACGTTCGTCTCTCGCTCCCCTTCAGGGACCCGGTCCTGGAGACACTTGTAAATAGCCTGGAGAATATGCAAATTTATGCAAATTTATGCAAATTAGAGACAAGCCACACCTACCATACCCTTTAATCAACCTGTCAGCCTCAATTACCAGAGCGGACATGCAAATTAAGGCTCCAATCAGTCTTGAAACATGCAAATGAAGGGTGTGAATATGCAAATTGCAGCGTGTTATGCAAAGGAGGGTGTGGATATGCAAATTAGGCTGGTTTTTAATTGGGTTGTGTTAATTTTCATGCAAATCGCATCGATTCTGACGCCCAATCAACAGTTAATTAATAAGCTCCTAATTAAGTATTACATGCAAAAGTAATTAATTAATTAATAGCCACAATTAAATGTTTGCATAATTCTTAATTTTATGCAAATTAGGTGATGCTGAAAGAAAGTCGATTTATGCAAATGAAGCTGTTAGTACAGCTCAATACTGTAAATTAATTAAGCTAATTAACATGCAAATCTGACAATAAAATTCATTTGCATAAAGCGCCCAACAATGCTAATTATACAAATCCCAGAATAACTCCGTGTATGCAAATTAGGAAACAACTTATGCAAATCACAGCATGATTTGCCTAATTTAATAATGTATTTGTGATGCAATCGTACTTATGCAAATCACTGATTTAATTAATGCACATGCTATGCAAATTTGCAAATAACTTACGCATATCATTGGGCACTTTATGCAAATTACCGAGAATCTCATGCAAAGTTATGCAAATTACTAGATACTATTTTATTGACCACATTATGCAAATCAGCTGCTGATTCATGCAAATTCCCCATCGCTTTATGCAAATCTATGCAGATTAGGGCGCCAGTCGATAACCCACAGGGGTGGCGTCTGTATGCAAATGAGATGCAAATTGCAAACGCTTTCAACCGATATATGTGGGAGTGTAAATAAACAGGAAATTGGATGCAAATGAGATGCAAATGAGGAAAAGCTTCTGAGCGGCATGTGGGCGTGCGAATGGATGGGAATTGTATGTAAATGAGATGCAAATGAGATGTAAATGTCACAACGCTTCTGAGCGGCTTGTGGGCGTGCCAATGGATGGGAATTTTATGGAAATGATATGCAAATGAGATGTAAATGTCAAACCGCTTCTGCGCGGCTTGTGGGCGTGCCAATGGGATAAGAATTGTATGTAAATGAGATGCAAATGAGATGTAAATGTCAAAACACTTTTGAGCGGCATGTGGGCGGGCTAATGAGATGGGAGTTACATGCAAATGATATGCAAATGAGATATAAATGAGAAAATCCATAGGATGAAAATTTGGATTTAAATGAGATTCAAATGAGATGTAAATGTGGAAACGCTTTTGAGCAGCGTGTGGGCGTGCCAATAGGATGGGAATTATATGTAAATGATATGCAAATGAGATATAAATGAGAAAACGCTTCTGAGCGGCGTGTTGGCGTGACAAAGGGATGGAAATTTAAATTTAAATGAGATGCAAATGAGATGTAAATGTGAAAACACTTCTGAGCGGCGTGTGGGCGGGCCAATGGGATGGGAATTGGATGCAGATGAGATGCAAATGAGATGCAAATGAGCTGACCTGCTGGTACTGGCAGTACTTGATGGGATCCTTCTCGAAGACCTCGTAGGTTTGGGATTCCAGGTTGTCCATCAGGGGCTGCGGAATTCCCGGGAAAAAATCCGGGATTTTCACCCAAAATTCCCGGGATTTTCACCCAAAATTCCCGGGATTTTCACCCAAAATTCCACAAAAAATTCCCGGGATTTTCACCCAAAATTCCCGGGATTTTCACCCAAAATTCCCGGGATTTTCACCCAAAATTCCCCAAAATTCCCGGGATTTTCACCCAAAATTCCACCAAAATTCCCGGGATTTTCACCCAAAATTCCCCCAAAATTCCCGGGATTTTCACCCAAAATTCCCGGGATTTTCACCCAAAATTCCACAGAAATCCCGGGATTTTCACCCAAAATTCCACAAAAATCCCCGGGATTTTCACCCAAAATTCCACAAAAATCCCCGGGATTTTCACCCAAAATTCCCGGGATTTTCACCCAAAATTCCACAAAAAATTCCCGGGATTTTCACCCAAAATTCCCGGGATTTTCACCCAAAATTCCATGAAAATTCCCGGGATTTTCACCCAAAATTCCCCAAAATCCCCGGGATTTTCACCCAAAATTCCCGGGATTTTCACCCAAAATTCCCGGGATTTTCACCCAAAATTACCGGGATTTTCACCCAAAATTCCCGGGATTTTCACCCAAAATTCCCGGGATTTTCACCCAAAATTCCAGGAAAATTCCCGGGATTTTCACCCAAAATTCCCCAAAATTCCCGGGATTTTCACCCAAAATTCCAGGAAAATTCCCGGGATTTTCACCCAAAATTCCACAAAATCCCCGGGATTTTCACCCAAAATTCCACAAAAAATTCCCGGGATTTTCACCCAAAATTCCCGGGATTTTCACCCAAAATTCCCCAAAATTCCCGGGATTTTCACCCAAAATTCCACAGAAATTCCCGGAATTTTCACCCAAAATTCCACGAAATTCCCATTTTTTTTGTCAAGATTCAGCCAAAAATCCCGATTTTCCTGGTTTGGGATTTTTGGTTACTGGGCTGAACTGGGATGGACTGGGATGGACTGGGATGAACTGGGATTGAACTGGGATTGAACTGGGATGGACTGGGATGAACTGGGATGAACTGGGATGGACTGGGATGAACTGGGCTGAACTGGGATTGAACTGGGATGAACTGGGATGAACTGGGATTGAACTGGGATGAACTGGGATGGAACTGGGATTGAACTGGGATGAACTGGGATTGAACTGGGATGGACTGGGATGGACTGGGATTTAACTGGGATGAACTGGGATGAACTGGGATTGAACTGGGATTGAACTGGGATTGAACTGGGATGAACTGGGATTGAACTGGGATTGAACTGGGATTGAACTGGGAGGTCACTGGGCTGAACTGGGATTGAAGTGGGATGAACTGGGCTGAACTGGGATTGAACTGGGATTGAACTGGGCCGAACTGGGATTGAACTGGGTTTGAACTGGGAGGTCACTGGGCTGAACTGGGATTGAACTGGGATTGAACTGGGCCGAACTGGGCTGAACTGGGAGCCCACCTGCAGCGGGCTCTGCAGGTAATCCTCGTAGCCACACTGGGATTGAACTGGGATGAACTGGGAGGTCACTGGGATGAACTGGGATTGAACTGGGATTGAACTGGGAGGTCACTGGGCTGAACTGGGCTGAACTGGGCTGAACTGGGCTGAACTGGGAGCCCACCTGCAGCGGGCTCTGCAGGTAATCCTCGTAGCCACACTGGGATTG